AAAATGTAAGACGTAAAGTACAGTTCAAATTGTCATTAGAGAAAGAAAGATTTTTATCCTAAGCTCAACACTTTTGCTTGCTGTGCGGGGTGCACGCACTCCCATAATAATTCGAGTCCCCTTACCTCTACGCTCTTGATTACGGACATTTTGAACAAAGTCTCGCGAAATACACAATAGCCTTCAAAATGTTTTTCCTGTTCAAATTATGAATTGTTTACTCGCTTTTGCCACCAAAATAAACATTCAAACTCGACGTCCACCGATTTTTTCACTGCCAACTCCTACGCGGGAGTTTTATTATCAAATCATCCCCGTTTCCTTTTAGAGGATCAAATTCATCACAACTTTTTTGGATTCTTCGCTGAAAGGTTTTGATATGATTATTGATTTTGAACCAATCAAGAACCATAATGCCATTACTAAAAGAAATCAAATTAATGCTATTTTTAGAATAAAACTCTAAGTTCATTATTACATAACACATAAACTGGAATCTAAAACTTCTGCCAAATAGTGCTATGAAATTTAGCACAAGATTATAACAAAATTTTGGAAAATAAAAAAAATTGAAACAATAATTCTTATTCGATGAAAGACACTTATAATCGTTTAATAGAATTTGATTAATACTTAATTGAATATCGAGTGTTTTAAATGTTTCATAACGGGTCCCTATTTGTCACCGCTTTATTGTACCCTCACCTTGCCCGTTAAAATTACATTTCGCCCCCAAGAGGCCAATCTAAGGGTTGAAAGAGGAAAGACTATCCATTGGGCCTTTGGAGGGCCTTAACGAAATATTAAATTCTTAACTGACAGTAAGTTGGAAAATTCTTAGGCGCTCCGAGACTCCAGGGAGTTGTTGCAAAATATAAAGTTGCGAAGTCTAACTTCTCTCCGTTAATATGATTGATTATGTACTTTTCGTGTATCTTGTTTATGTATTTGTAAATATTACATTGTCAGTTCACCTTTTAAGAGTACGATAGCTGGTGATCTGCAACTTCACATGCGTAAATATATAGGTAATAGCCTATATTAACCCCGTCCAACGAAACTACCCATAGATGAAAGAATTTTAAAAATCGGTCCGTCAGTTTTGGAATCTTTTCAATGCAAACACACACATAAGCAATCAAATCTTCTCTCTTTAAAATATTCGTATGGATTCCAATACATCTGTTGATTTGATGACATTTTCAGTAACGTCTATTAGACTCTAACCAAAATTTGTCCAAAGAATCAATAAAGTTTCATAAATTTCAACATCATTAAAATAATATTTATCTTTTGTTTCACGATGTAATGTTAAGCAACACGTACACTGAGGCTATATAACCTAAACAATGATTTACGTTAATTTTACAACTTACGTATAAGACTGAACAAGAGCTTTACCAGCAACTAAACCTCTTAAATAAGCGTAAAATTATTCAGCTTTAACTTCACATTACTGTATAGTAATTTACAGTTGTTTTGTTTTCTTATTATAACAGGTAACAACCTGAATTATTCTTATGAAAAAAGAATGAATAACTTTTACCGAACAAAATTATAATATGTCTTAAAATAATCAATGTTAACAATGTTGACCACTTTATATTATTTCAACAGTTAAGTTTAAATATCATGACATTGATAATTAGAATTTATCAACATAAATTAGTACTCCGAGAGTCGAGTATTAACCAGCTGTGAAAATATCTGTTATTGATTTGTTAGCACGCTATTAACGGAGGCGTGAGAACTCTTATTATCCGACGGGTCTGGGATGGCGGTCGATTGAAAATAAAAGTTACTGTGGCACTCTCAGGTCTCTATACTATATTTATTGTTTTAAAGAAGACCTAAAGGTGGGACATAAAATTTCCAGTCGCACAAAATATTGAATTACACTGATTTTTATCGATTACGCAGGGAAACGTGGCAGATTCGAGACATGGAATGTCTAATACTTTCCCGGATTTACGTCTACACTGCAGGGGCTCAAGCCTTCTTATAGACGGTTAAGGAGGATGGGTCACGACCCTCCACGTGGCCTAATGCAGATTGGAGGGCATTAAAGACTACAAATGCAGCCAGGACAAACAGCTTAACGTGCCTTCTTCAAGGCACTTCAAATTGCAAAAGTTACTTAACTACAACGATCGTTGGTAGCGTCTTTCATCCAGTACGCCGACTGTCCCGTTACATGGTAATAAAAGCGAAAATAAAAATAAATCTTTAAGAAACTCCAAACAGAAAAACAACTTTTTCTAGGTATCTTGCTCATAACTAAAGCATTTAAAACAATTATGATAACTAACGTGAAAAGAAAAGAGGTGTATTTTGACTGATAAGATTATTTCCTGTATACTATTATATCACATCATATTTTATCTTTAATTCAAGTATTTACTGCGAATTCGGTCGGCACTCCCCCTGGAGCAAAGATGTCAAAATTATGTTCGAATACTTTAGAAATCTTATGCCGTGCCGATCAACACGAAGACCTATAACAGATCAGTTTAAATCGCCTATGCTCCCAAATTTAAATTGGAAACGAAACAAAGTTAAAGTTATTCACTGATAAAGTAGCTTTACTCGTATTTAATTAATAAGTTATTTTTATAGTTTTTGAGTATATTGATTGCAAACAAAAAATCATCCTTCCCTTTTTATTATTATGACTTAATAATTGAACATGAATAATTAGCGCGAATTAAAGTGAAATATTAGTGCCAATACAGAAATTATACTAACATGCAATTTATAAATATCAACACACTAACAAGTTTAAAAACAAATTTAAATAAACTTTAAGAAGTTTAGTTATTAGGATTTTCGACTTCAATTGGAATGTCTTTTAATTTTGTTTCTTATCATTATAGCTATATTTCATCATAGGCCTATAGGACATAGGCCTCCCCAATTGCACGCCATCTATTTCGATTTTCGGCTGTTCGCATCCAGCTCCTGCCAGCCATCTTGCGCAAATCATCGCTCCACCGCGCCTGAGGACGTCCTACACTACGTTTGCCGAGACGCGGTCTCCACTCAAGAACTCGTTTACCCCAACGGTTATCGGTTCTGCGGCTAATATGGCCAGCCCACTGCCACTTCAGCTTGCTAATCCGGTGGGCTATGTCGATAACCTTGGTTCTCTGCCGGATCACCTCATTTTTGATTCGATCCCGCAGAGAAACGCCGAGCATAGCCCTTTCCATAGCGCGCTGAGCAACCTTCAACTTATGGACCAACCGTGCCGTCAGTGTCCACGTTTCGGCTCCGTATGTCATAACGGGTAGGACGCACTGATTAAAGACTTTTGTCTTTAGGCACTGCGGGATCTACGATGTAAAGACCTGACGTAGTTTCCCAAACGCTGCCCAACCTAGCCGAACTCTTCCATTTACCTCGCTCTCGAAGTTGTTTCTACCTAACTGCAATGTTTGCCCGAGGTATACATATTTTGGAACAATTCCGAGAACGACACCGCATACTGCAATCGGTTCCGGTAGTACGTGTTCGTTGAACATGACCTTGGTTTTATCCAAGTTCATCCGTAGGCCGATGCGCATAGAAGAGTCAGCCAGGTCATTCAGCATCTGTTGTAGGTCCTGCAGATTTTCTGCCATGATGACGATGTCGTCAGCAAATCTCAAGTGAGAGATGTACTCGCCATTGATGTTGATGCCACGTCCTTTCCAGTTCAGCGTCTTAAACATATCCTCCATTGCATTAGTAAACAATTTCGGAGACATAACGTCTCCTTGTCTCACTCCTCGATGCAACGGTATAGGACTTGTTTGCTGATTCTGTACTTGGACGGTCATGGTGGCGGCCTCATAAATACATCTTATCACTTGGATGTATCGCCAATCGACTTGGCATCGCTGCAGGGACTCCAGAACGGACCAGATCTCAATCGAGTCAAAGGCCTTCTCATAGTCCACAAATGCTAGACACAGGGGCTGATTATACTCTTCAGTTTTCTGTATAATCTGCCGCACTGTGTGGATGTGGTCTATGGTGCCGTATCCACTCCGAAACCCAGCCTGCTCCGGTGGTTGGAATTCGTCAAGTCTTTGCGCAAGACGGTTCGTGACTACTCTAGAAAACAGCTTATAGACGTGGCATAGAAGGGAAATGGGTCGATAGTTCTTCAGCAGGGTTTTGTCTCCCTTTTTGAAGAACAGGACGACAACACTCCTACTCCACGCCTGCGGAGTTCTCCCTTCGAAGAGGACAGCATTAAAAAGCTTTTGGAGCTCCTTCAGTACCGGTTTACCTCCTGCTTTTAATAATTCAGTTGTAATGCCATCCTCTCCAGGGGCTTTTCCATTTTTAAGCTGTCTCAGAGCGATCTCGATTTCGCCAATGCTGACTTCTGGCAGATCTTCGGTGTAGTGGCGTGTTAATGTGGCTCTAGAATCCTCATTTCCGGGATCAGGTCGAGATGCATGCGAAGCGTATAACCGGGCATAGAAATTTTCCACCTCCGAGAGGACCGCTGGCTTCGAAGCAACGACTTCCCCGCTTGCTGTGGTCAACTTCGTCAAGTGGCTTCTTCCAAGAGATTGTACGAATACTTTTGACCCCCTATTTTGCTCGATCGCTCTTTCTATAGCGTGAGTGTTGGAGCACCGGAGGTCATATCGTACGCGTTTGCTGATCTCCTGGTTTTGAGCACGTTTTCCTGACGAAGTGACAGGTGGGTTTTCACGTCGTTCCTTGATTAGCCCCAAAGTTCTATCGGAGAGCTTAGACTTCCCGCCCTTACGCTGCATGCTACAAAATTTCGTACCTTCTTTCCTGAGTATTCGAACCACATTTTAAAGGTTCTCGTCAACGTCAATTGTGGTTTCCATGGCAGCGAATCGGTTCTCAAGATTTGACTGAAACGTTTCAGATTCCATCATGGTTTGGAGAGGAGTAGGTCGGAGCTATATTTCATAATCCTGGTTTTTATATCAATTCATGAATTAATTAAGATGATTAGCTCTTGTAACTCTGTATTATCATTTATTTCTTACAAATGTGTGTATTTGTTAAGATTACAACATTAATTTATAAAAGGAGATAAAGATTTTTTAACATCAGTGTTTTAAAAACCACCACCACGCGTGTGTTACTCGCCCTATTAGTGGTCGTGGCTCTTGTCGCAGGTGAGTTCTAAATTTGTTCAACATTATATTCCGTATTTTAAATTCGGATACATTCATTTGTAATAATCTCATTTCAGAAATATCCTTTTTCAATTTGTATTATACGTATCCTTCAAAGAGATAAATATTTAAATTTCTAAAAACACGTCTATTTTTTGATATTAGTTTTTATATATAACGTTAAAACTTGTGATTGCATGACATTTTCTTCATAACTATTTCAACGAAAGCCAGAGGAAAGGTAATACTTATATGATTGTTTAATACTAGTAATGTAAACGACATATACATTTGCATACTAAGCTGCTAAGTAATGTATTCCCTTGTTATGTAATTTTTATTGTAACCAAATAATATTTTGTGTTGTATTTCTTCTATTCCAGCCGCACCAAAGAATCCCCAGAAGATCGTTGGCGGTGACCAAACGACCATTGATCAATATCCACATATGGTTGCTCTATTGCACTCCTTTAGCACAACCGGTCATAGACAATTATGCGGTGGCACCATCATCAACAACAGAGCCGTTCTCACCGTCGCACATTGCTCTATGTATATTTGTTTAACACTATGTATGTTATCACTTTTGAATAATCAAAATTGCAAAAAGTTTAGCTTTTAATTGATCAATTTTTCATTTAGAATGGAGCTTAAAAGTGGACTTTTAAGAATGTTTCATTACGAAGAATATTTTGTATTTTTTAAATTAAAATTTATACTCTGATCACAAATCCTGTATAAGCTTGTTAGTTTAGCAAGCTTGTCTTTATAATTATTACAAAAAGTATTTCTTTATTTATACTTCTTCTTTTTCTTCCATATCGTTAGGTCACATTTCCCTCGGACAAAGCCCTTCTCATCTCACTTCTCTACTCTGGCGCAGTTTTGTCACTACGGGTTGAAGTTCTTTCGCCTTCATATTCATGTAGCTACTAAACTTATATAGGAGCACCGGATATCGGAGGGTGTTCTAAACTTATTTTGGCTCAGCAGTATTTGAAAACATTACTGATTTTATGGGTGTCCTTTACTCATAACATGCCGTCATCTGTATTCGTTAGTTATATTGGCAAGTTTAGACGTACTCGTAATATGATACCCAATATGACCTAGATTTTGTCCTTTTGGGTAATTACCCCAACTTACGCAGAATTTTTATCTAAGGCACATGAAATCTCTGTTTCCTTTGATCTGTATAACAAGCAGCACTTAGAGACAAATTCAATCCTTTTCGAGCACTTAACAGGCAAATCTTATAGTATAAATTAGTTTACATATACAAATATGCGCCATTCTAGTATTTGAGAAGTTAACCTTAACTTTGTCAACAGAGGCGACCCGGTGTTCAGGTGGCAAATGCGCGCAGGATCCACCTACGCTAACAGTGGTGGTATAGTGTATACCGTGGCAGCCATCATCAGTCATCCTGAACTCATTTTCGAAGTCAGAGAAAATGATGTGGGCATCTACCAATCCACTTCCCCTATAATTTTCACTAACGTTATCCAACCAGCCAGTATTGCTGGTCAAATATGCGCTATTCTAGTATTTGAGAAGTTAATATTAATTTTATCAACAGAGGCGACCCGGTGTTCAGGTGGCAAATTCGCGCAGGATCCACCTACGCTAACAGTGGTGGTATAGTGTATACTGTGGCAGCCATCATGAGTCATCCAGAATTCACTTTCGAAGTCAGAGAAAATGATGTGGGCATCTACCAATCCACTACCCCTATTATTTTCACTAACGTTATCCAACCTGCCAGTATTGCTGGTCCCAATTATTTTATTGGAGACAACGAAGTGGTTTGGGCATCTGATTGGGGACTACTTTGGGTGAGTTGACCTGTAATTTGTGTAGTTAAATAACGATGTATAATGTTAAATAACTTTAAATGTAACTTTGATATTGACAATTTAATAGTTTGCTTTAATTTAATTTATGGTGCAGATACTTTTGTTTTCACATAAAAAAAAAACTTTAAAATTTCAGTATAATGGTCCACAACTTGAAGAGTTGAGACATGTCCAACTAAGGACTGTAAACTATGAGGTTTGCAGAGATAGTTATACAGATATAAACCCCAAATATATATTTATCTCCCCAAATATGTTATGTGCTGGCTGGTTCGGTATCGGTGGACGTGACCAGTGCGCTGGCGACTCTGGTGGTCCAGTTTATCATAATGGGGTCGTCGTCGGTATAACCTCGTGGGGTTATGAATGTGCTCATGCCCGCTTTCCTGGTGTTTACACTCGTGTTTCAAATTTCACTAGTTGGATAGTGGACAACGCATAAACTGTTAATGCAATACACGCAGAGAATATTCTGAGAAAAACAAACCATTTATGAAACGTTAATTTTAAGAGTTACCTACTGGATTAGAAGTATATTTAGTATAATTAATTACACGTTTTTGCTATGTAAAATTATTTTCTATTTTATGCCAAATAAATGTTTTCTATTTTATTCTACGTGTAAGAGCTTATTTGGTCTTACACGTAGAATAAATAAATAGGAAGTATTTTTTTTTAGCAACTAAACCACTCATATGACCATTTTCGAGGTATGAAGCCCATTTTGAGCTCTTCTATAACCTATTTTGTAGACAATTGTACTTCGCTTTAAATATTAATGTAAAAATTTAAACTCGCTCAGCTACTCTGATAAAGCTATCGATTGCTCTGCCAACAATCCCGAGACTTTCAAATTTCTTGAGAGCTTGTTATCTTTTTTAGTCAATGTTAAGAGGTGTAAATAATTTTCTTCTATTTCAAGTTGTTTAATGGACTGATGTAGGTAGATACAGAAATATATAAGTAAAAAATCGATTGACATAGTATTCCTGTTGCTCAATCATGTAGGTTTAATACAAAAATCATACTCAAAACTTAAAACTCGTGATCGTTAAACGTAGGCAATTGGACATATTTGCCTACACGTGTATGCTCTCAGAAATGGACTGAATCAATATCAAAGACTATATTTAGTAGCGACGAAACTATTTTGATTAAAACGGGATGTTATTTCGAGATTATCACGTCTGATGGATAGATTCGTATTGAGTAATTTATATGGATTTAATGGTGTTACAAATATTCAGTTTTAAGCTGATATCGAAAAGTTAACTTATATGTTATTTTGTGTATGAAATTTTAAATTTTATCAATATCTATTTGTTATCATACAAAAAGTGTCTTCAGAAACAACAAACAACCCAAGTTACTGCAAATACCTATTCAGAATTTTAGTTGATTTGCTAAATGATGATCTAAGCAAAGGTTTTAGAATACCTTTCAACAACAAGAATCTTAGCTATTAGGTTAGTAGCAACAAACAAACGGACTTTCTTCAAAAATATCAAAACTATAATTAATTTTTAAAAAATACTTTTTTTGTATAAATATTCTCTCTGTTACGATACTAACCCCAATAAAAAGTGCACTAATAAGGTTATTTTCTTGAAACTGATTATTTCACAATCTTATATTGCGAATAATCAATCCCACCAATAATATTTTCATGTAGTGCTGCAAAGCCGAAACCGCATGTTTTGAATAAGGTGTAGTGCTTATGAAGTAAGGGCTGTAGAGTTAGAATTTCGATTTACGAGATTTGATGGGTTTATGACAGTGCGAGTCACATGGTCATAGCTTTGCGACACTTTACATGAACATGTTTTTGGTGTAATTTGTTAAAAGGGTCCAAAAATCCGGTGAAGCGTTTCTAGAAAAAGTAGGTAGTGCCCTTCTTTTAGTTTGTCTTTTGGCTTAGCTTTAGCGGGCCACTTCCGTGGGCCTAGATATCTGAAATAGAATAAAGATTTCTTAAAATAATAAAAAAATATTTTGGTAACGAACAAAAATTTTATGTTCTTTTTTATAATACACTAGGTTAACGCCAGCTGCTTCACACGCGTGGTCCTCTATTATACTTTTAAATCATCCTCTTGAAGTACTATATATTGATGAAAACTGCATTAAAATTCGTTTTCTAGTTTACAAGACAGCGGAAAGCAATTTTGTTTTGTACTATGTGCATATATTGGTCTGAACGAAGAAAAAATATGAACGATTTATTTGATATGAATAATGTTTCGTTTCCTTTTATTTATGAAATGTTATTGCGAAATTATAACATTGTTATTTTTATATAAATGGGTCTTCAATTTATCAATGAATAAAGATTATCAATGAAAGAAGATTAGGACTTATACTTTATCATGATTATCGTTTTATGTAATTATTAATCTATTTGATAAGATTACATTTTTATTTATATAAAACAACAATTGTTATTTCCCAAAATCCCAGTCAGTGTTTATTATCCATCATGCGTGTATTACTTGTCCTTGTAGTGGCCGTGGCTGCTGTTGCAGGTAAGATAAAAATTTATTCAACATTCTTTTCCATATTTTAAATTCAAATAGATTAGTCTTCTAATGTGCATGCAGTTTTGCATGTAATCTTTTTTAACTGGTTCACCGTATCTCGAATTCAGAGTAAAAAATACTCGTAATGTGAACGTAGGATACTTGTAGTTCATACATTTTTTCCCTTGTTATGTAATTTTTATTGTAACCAAATAATATTTTGTGTTGTATTTCTTCTATTCCAGCCGCACCAAAGAATCCCCAGAGGATCGTTGGCGGCGACCAAACGACCATTGATCAATATCCACATATGGTTGCTCTATTGCACTCCTTTAGCACAACCGGTCATAGACAATTATGCGGTGGCACTATCATCAACAACAGAGCCGTTCTCACCGTCGCACATTGCTCTATGTATGTTTGTTTAACACTATGTATGTTATCACTTTTGAATAATCAAAATTTGCAAGAAGTTTAGCTTTTAATTGATCAATTTTTCATTTAGAATGGAGCTTAAAAGTGGATTTTTAAGAATGTTTCATGAATCACCGTCGCACATTGCTCTATGTATGTTAAATAGTTTTGAATATTTTGTCCATAATCTTTAGCAACTGTGTATTAAAAGTTGTACACTCAAAGTAAAACTGCAAGTCTATTTAAGCTTCTTGGCATAGGAAGATTACGTTTATAGTATTTAAAAAAAAAAACTACTTCTTTATTTTAATTTCTTCTTCCATTTCGTTAGGTCCCCACTTCCACTATTGAAATTGATCCTTAAATAAAAACTTTTCTATTAAAAATCTTTTCATATCCTCTCTGCTCATATGCAAGCGAGTCTTCTGCGTTTTATGGCAACTTTGAACGTGTACCCGTAATACTCAAATATTATTAATTTTTGTCTTTTGTGTTTTCTGTTAATTTTGATTCTCTGTTGGTTATCTGTAAGTGTCCTATCTGTATGTACCAAATAAATAATTTTGATTTGATTTGATTTAGATCATTTATTAACACAAACCTACCTACAAATATGAGTTAATCTGTAATTTTTGTAAGTGAAGTTAACCTTAACTTTGTCAACAGAGGCGACCCGGTGTTCAGGTGGCAAATGCGCGCAGGATCCACCTACGCTAACAGTGGTGGTATAGTGTATACCGTGGCAGCCATCATCAGTCACCCAGGATTCACTTTCGAGATCTTGGAAAATGATGTGGGCATCTTTCAATCCACTACCCCTATTATTTTCACTAACGTTATCCAACCTGCCAGTATTGCTGGTCCCAATTATTTTGTTGGAGACAACGAAGAGGTTTGGGCATCTGGTTGGGGACTACTTTGGGTGAGTATCATTCTGTGATTTGTAATTTTTGTAGTTAGTATATGGTATGTATGTACATATAAAAAACTGGTTATATTTTTAATTTTAATTATGATAGTAATATAATTCATCATCATCGTCATACCAGCCCATTAAGGGATAGAAATAGATGGATCGAATATGGAGAATGGGTCATTACCCAAACCGCGGGCCCAGTGCGGATTGGGGGAATGCTTTACGTGCCTTCTGAAGCACGGAGGAGTTCGAGGTAAAAAAATTTTGGTTACCCATCCTATGACCAGCCCTAGCGAAGGTTGCTTAACAACTGACCGAGCGCACTAACCACTGCGCCATTGAACTTTAATTTACAAAATATAATTTCATATTTTATAGTTTTGTAATTCAAAATATTCACAATATATATTAAGAAACAAAACTTTTAACAAATTAATTCGAATACGTATAGTTACGGGGTGCAGCGGCGCGGTTCGTCTAAACATTACTAGATGGCGTTATGCGCCAATGAATCGCGCTGTCGAAACTAAGTGTGTCATATATGTATACATCGGGTAGGCGAGAAAGGGATGGTCACTGGGAAAGAAAGGGACGGGTAGCAATTCTAGAACTTAGTAGGGCTGAGGCCAACCTAGAATGTTCTAGGTCCTAATCTAGAACATTTCCGTAACTAGTGAACTGAATACGAGAGCGATCGGAAGCGAAACTCAAAACAAAAACTAGTGAAGTGAACTATCGGGACGTTCGAATAGTATTGTAAAGCGAGAATAATGACGTGAACTGTCAAGTCGAAGAAGTGTGGATTATGTTGTTTATTATAGATAAAGTCGGATTGTATAATTTAATTGGCGTTGATTTTTGATCCCCTTAGTATTATTGCTTTATCAAACTTTTTTTTTTATTATTTTATTATACATTGCTTTCACTTTCATTTTTTATCCGCTTTTGATTTTCAGTATAATGGTCCACAACTTGAGGAATTGAGACATGTCCAACTATGGACTGTAAACCATGAGGTTTGCAGAGATAGTTATGCAGATATAAACCTCTTTATCTCCACAAAAATGTTATGTGCTGGCTGGTTCGGTGTCGGTGGACGTGACCAATGCGCTGGCGACTCTGGTGGTCCAGTTTATCACAACGGGGTCGTCGTCGGTATAACCTCGTGGGCCTGGCAATGTGGTCATGCTCTCTGGCCTGGTGTTAACACTCGTGTTTCTAATTTCACTAGTTGGATTGTGAACAATGCATAAACTGTTAATGTTATATAATATACACAGCGGATCTTTTGAGAATAATAAATAAATTCAATATCACTTACTTAGTCTAGGCTTTTATTATCACTTGTGCATGTCGAAAGCTACGCCATCGGCAAGAAACTCAGCAAGAGCTTTTTTTACCCGACTGAGCAACGAGAAGGAGGGTAATGTGTTTATGAGTCTATACAGGAATATTTTTTTTCGCGACCGAGCGACGCGCGTGACAGTAAGACTCATACGCACGCGTTGTTGTGACGTGCCCTCGCGTTCCCGCGCACGCGACGTGCCCGCCGTCGTGAGTTTTATGAGATGGTACGAGCTTATCTTCTGAGTGGTG